CCGTCTGCCCTCTGCTGCCCTTCCTCTGCGCCTGAGGAACCAGCTGTGACATGCCCCCACATTGGCCAGGGCACCCTCCCCTCCAGGCCTGACCGCCTGACCCAGCCAAGACAAGTCTCTCAAGGGACACTTCCCGTCCCATCCTGCACGGCCCAAGCCAAGGCCCGACGTGGAGTCCCGTGGACTCAGCCAGGCACCCAACGTGTCTGCCACCCCCGACGCAGGAGCACACCTCGGAGAGAGCCGTCACCTGCTGTCCAGACTTGGGGGCGCAGATGGTCAGGTGGCTATAGCCACAGGCAGCCCCCACACCCGGTTCCCGCCCCATAAAGTTCCTTCTGTACCTGCAAGGTGGATCCCCAGTGGCCGGGTGGAAAAGGACAGGGACCCCTTCCAGGAGGCTCAAGGATGGGGGTCCTCGGAGAGCTGCACCCTCCAGATGCCTCCAGCCATGTGGAGGCTGCCCCTGCTGCTCCAGGCCCTTTGCACAGGACGGCCTTCCCGAAAGCCGGATCCCTGCTCTGCCCCACGCCTTACTTCCGACCCTCTTAGGATTCCCACTGAGGGTCCTTGAGCGCCTCGGTCCCAGGGATAGTGGGACGGTGTGCGCGTGGGTGGTGAGGGGGTCTCTGCAGGGACAGGTAGCAGGCTGGAAGGAGTGGAAGGTGGGGGCATGCTCAGAAGCCCTGGGAGCATCTCCAGCATCTCCTCGACAGAGTGGGCAGGGGCGGGGACCAGGCCCTCCAACCTGCTGCTTCTCCAGGTGCGGGGTAGCTCGCTGGCGGGCCAGGGGAGGGGTCTCTGCGGAGAGGACTCCCAGGGGGACCCAGGAGCCGGAGCCCACTCAGTCCTGAGCACGGCGCCTTCTCTGGATGACGGGCCCAGGGCCGCCTGCTGTCCCTCCTGCTCACTGTCCTTCCCTCTCAGCCGAAGGGGCACTTGGGGTTGCTGTTCAGTCTTCGTTTGCTTCTTTTCTTGAAGGGGGGAATTTGTTGCCAAAAATACTCCTGCAAGACTTCCTTGTTTCTACGAAGGAGAAGCTGTTTGTTTATGTTACTCTTGCTTCTGCACTAAAGTGCCAGGAGGAAGCCTGGTCTGAAAGCCTGCAAATCTACTGTCCCTGGCTTCCCAGAGTGGACACTGGGCAGGTCTCGGAGACACAGTGAAGGCTCAGCACATGCAGCCAGTTAGTTTGGACCTGCAGAGCTCAGGCCTAAAGGAACAGCACATACTCAGGGACCCAGGTCCATGGTGGTGACAGACTTAGGGACGGGGTTCATGACCTCGAGAGACATTCAGGGACAGGGTCCACGGTGGTGGCAGACACCCAGGGACCACCCCGCTCCAGTGCAGCACCCACCGTTTTGGCCGCAGCCCCTCCAGGCAGGCCTTACTCTTCTGCAGGGTGGGGCATTCCACTCCATGCCCTGTGCTCTGCCAGTGCCTCTGACTTGGCCTGGTCACTGAGAAGGGAACAATGGAAAAGAGAGGCTGTGAAGTGGCAGGGAAGCCTGGCGGGGCTTCCAGGCTGAGCAGTGAGCTGGGAGGAAGCCGAAGAGGAGGTGCTGTTGCAAGCCAGGCACCCGGGCAGCAGGGCCGGAGCCCACAGCTCTGGGGAACCGGAGACGGCTGTGCACTGAGCTGGAATGCAGGCATGGCGTGGGCAAGGCCCAGGCCCTGACGTCCCCTGGGAGCTGCATGGCCAGGCGTCGCCACAGCGTTTTTACGGAAAAATTCTCTTCCTACCCCGTCCCAGTCCTGACTGGGTCGAGTCCATGGCTATCCCGGGATCCAGGAGCTCTCGGGCACTTCCCAGGGGCTGGCCTTCCCCAGATCTCCTGGTCAAGGCACTGACCATTCCAGCCTCGGTCCTCTCCGTCTGGCAGAGGAGACGCCAGTTCTCTCCATTCCTGCGAGTGTATGTCCTGCATGAGGTGCTCCCTGCAGAGGCCCCACGTCAGACCCAGGATCCTGGCCGCTGGAGGAGAGGAGGCCTCCCCTGGCCGTGCGTCAGAGCTGGGAGTGGCCGAGGACAAGCTGTTTGGATGTGAGGAGGTCAAGAGAATTCTCGTTTGCCTGACCAGAAGAGGGGGAGGCATGGGCTGGAAATGGCATGATCAAGCTCGTGTCTGGGCATTACCTGGTGCTGTGGCCTGGGTATTAATAAGTCCCATGTCCAGGGAGTAACAGGAACCATGATCTGGGTATTAATATGTCCCATGTTCGGGCGTCACCTGCACCAGGGTCCAGGTGCTAATAAGCGCTATGCCCTCGGCCCACGCCAGCAACAGAGCAACCCCCCGGGAAGTGCATTTTCTTCTCTCTGGACGGAGCTGCCGGGAGCGCTCAGAGCTGGACTGACCAATGGACGGAGCGAAGCTTTCACCAGATCCGTCATCGCTCATTCCTTGCAATGAGAATTCCTGTGCTCAGAAGAGCCGCGATTCAATTAGTCCTAAACACATCTCTCATGGGTCACAAGACGCTTCTCGCTGCTTCTCCCCCAAATAGGACCCCTGCCCCGTTGCTGCTGACCCCCGGGTCTCACCTGCACCGTCTGATGACCACACCCTGGCCCACAGAGTCGCGCTCCGAACACTCCCCGGCCCAGGGCTCCCACAGGCAGTGCTCCCCGTTCAAACTCTCCCCTCGACACTGGAACTGAAGGTGTCCTGTTTCCTGACGTCCTAGGAGGGCTGGGCAGGAAGGCATCAGTCCGGGCCACTGGGGCTGGTGTCACTATTTGTGGGAATTGGTGGCTGGTCACCCACTGGCTCGGCGGCGGGAAATTCCCCATGGGGCCCGCTCAGCCCTGACTGGCTTATTGCTTTGTGGGGAGGATTCTGACTCACCTTTTCCTGAGGGTTGAATTTGGTTCCTACTGGACCTGCCCAGGGTCTCTCACCTGCAGAGACCCCATCTTGGGGGACCAGGAGCCCTCACCAGAGCCAGAACTGTATTCCTTCTGGCCTGGGGTTTTGTCCTCCAGGACGTGATGCTGAGGCTGGTCTTCTGGTTTGCGAGTGACTGCAGTCCCTGTCATCAAGCAGTCAGTGCTGCTCACAGCTCTGACCGTGATGCGAAACAGCCGTGTGGGTCCCAGTGGACTCCACGCTTGCTCTTGTTCTAACAGGGGCCTCCAACTGACATGCACACCAAGACCCCCTGGAGCAGTCACACTGTTTTGGGGCCCTCCCAAGCAGGGCTGGGACTGGGAGTCACTCCTGTCAATCCTCTGCCCAGCTGGGCCTATTGGGGGCTCTAGACAGTCCCAGAAGTGCTGGGGGCCACAGAGGGCCACAGGAGATGGTGCAGGGAGCATGCAGTATGGGGTTGAACACGGGCCACATCCGCTCCCTCTGCCCACCTCCCAGTCCCCCACTCACTTCTCCCAAAAGTCTCCCAACACCAGCTCTTGGGCTGTGCTTTGCCCTTGAGGAGTGGTCTGCCACACGAGGGGGAACAGACACCGCCTGCCCGGTCTGTCTTGTCAGGGTCCTTAGCCTTGTGGCAGAAAGGCTTCAGGAAAAGGCCAAGACGAGGCCCACACAGAGGCAGCTCCACCATCAAACAAGCACCTTAGTGTGCCAGGTGGGACACCGTGGGTGCCGATTGCCCATTAATGCCACTGCCACTTTCTCCATCATCAGTAACAGCAACTGTTTGTGGAGAACTTGGTAAATGTTTAACCTCATCAACCATAATTACAAGATAAAATAGACTCATTGTTACCCAGCTGTCACTGTCACTGTCCTCCTGTTGGTCATCGATTTGCTCGAGCGGGCCCAGTGACATTGTGAGGCTTGTTACTGTGTTTGGCATATCGAGTACGTCACGGGTGGCTTGCCAGGCTCTGCCGGGCGGGCGAGATACTCTCGGTAGCTTGCCGGGCTCTCCGAGAGGGGCGGAGGAATCGAACTCGGGTCGGCCATGTTGGCTGCGTGCAAGGCAAACGCTCTACCCACTGTGCTATCGCTCCAGCCCAGTTCCCCAGCATTCTCCTGAATGTGATGTCCAGATTTTGTAGGTCAAGAAATCTTAGTAAGGCTCTTGTCTTAAGGTGCTGGATATATTATTAAGCATTAATTCTTAAATCTGTCTTGTACTGTATGCATGTACTTTTTTTTTTTTCTTAAGCTACTGGGTGGCACCTTGCGTGTAGTTTTTAAAAGTTAGTATCATGAACAACGCTGGAAGGCAGCTATTCTAGTCACTATATCACTAACATGATGGAAATTCTGAACTGAATCAGTTGTCTGAAAGACACGACAAGAATTGTTTTTCTGTTTTAGGGCCATACCTGGTAGTGCTCAGGAGCTGCTCCCAGCACACTCTTTTGTCACTTTCATTGGTGTTTGGGGCACGGTGCAACCCCAGAGATCGAACCCAGGCTCCCACGTGTACTCCAGCACTCCACGCCGTCTCCCCAGGCCCCTGGGAGAAACCATTTTTATGATCCCATAGTGACAATTTCACAAGCCTGCAGAGCCTCTTTAAAGGTTTTGAAAGCCGTTAGAACCAGCTAAACACAGTGAACTCAACAGAACAGAGAGTCTCATGCTCTGATTTTGTCCCCAGTCTGGTTCGTTTTTAGCTTGGCTAACGCTCCCTCAGAGAGTTCCAGAATCATGCTAATATGCACAGCACATTCTTCTTAAGATGCCTCATTGCTGTTCTTATTCACGCACAGTCGAACACGGAGCCCCCATTGGGTTCTGAGGCACCGTGTTCTCCATCATAGACCAACCAGTGATGTGATGAAGGTCTGAGTTCTGAAATGAAAATGAAAACCAATTCCTCTGACCATGTTGTCTCCAAAATAATTCGCAATGTTTTGACAAAGTTGGCAAAGATTATTCCTGGCTTCATCTCCACTTATCTCTTGGAAAACTCTTCCAGTGACAAAGACCACGGAGAGAAGCTTGAAATACCTAAAACCTCCTATAAGTAATCCTCAAGTCAATTGATAAAAAGATGTTTAATAAAGACCTCCCGCTACTATACTCTGGTTCCTCTCCAGATCGCATAAATCTTTCACCTTTTACTAAAGATTTCCATGGAAAGGAATAATTCTGAATCTTAATTTTTTGAGGCCTTATCTCGACAAGCCTACATATATAGAAAGAAAGAGAAAAAGGAAGGAAGGAAGGAAGGAAGGAAGGAAGGAAGGAAGGAAGGAAGAAAGAAAGAAAGAAAGAAAGAAAGAAAGACAGGGAATCTTTTACCAAAGCTAAAAATATTTGGAGTGCCCCAAATCACCAAAAGCGTCCCGACGATGGGAGAATGGAAGGAGGAGGAAGGGGCAGAAGGGCTGGAGAGAGAGGGAGGCCCAGCAGGCGGCTTCCCCATTCCCTGCGCTGAGGAAGACCGTCACTCTCCTTTGTCTCCTTTGTTCGGACCAGCCCCTCCCGCAGAGCAGGGTGCCATGACGACGGTCACGTGCCCACAACTCAGCTTCTGAAGGTCGAGCCTGGAGGCACAGGAGGACAGTTACTGGAGATGCTCAGAGCTCGGCCGCTGACGCTTCCCCGGGGCCCCAAGTACCTGCAGCGTGGCTGGGAGGCAGCCTACCAGGGCCACCGGAAAAAGGTAGGACGCAGGGCCCGGCTCTCCCTCCCTGGAGAGCAAGCGACAACAGCCGGTGCTGAGGCAGAGCGGTCGGAGTGCTGTGCCGTGAAAGTGGCTGTTTTTCACTGTCACTGTCGCTGTCCTCCCGTTGTTCATCGATTTACTCGAGCGGGCCCAGTAGCGTCTCCATCGCGAGACTCTGTTGTTACTGTGTTTGGCATCTTATTCTCCAGTAAAAATGCCACAAACAGAGCTGAAACGGGAGGTGTTCCACCCCATTTCCTCAAGACAGATTTCCAGGGCCCTAGACTCGGGAACCAGGTTTCCTGAGACTCCTCACAGCCTAAGATGAAGGACAGGAGCCCTTCCAACTGTCCACTGGAGGCAGCTGTGGTCTCCTAGGAGACAGCCGTTTCTGACGCTTTGCTGCAAGATGGATGGCTGCAGATGACTGGGGGCTCACAGACTGCACAGCGGCACCTAGGAGGTGGGGTGGAAGCAGTGTGGGGGGTCACTGACTGCGGGGATCCCCGGAGATGGAACCCACACTGACTGTGCTGCAGGGATGTGCCCTCAAGAACCGGATCCCGAAAAGATAAAATTCCCAGGGGCTGAGTCCAGGGATGTGTCAGGGACAGTGTCAGAGACTGTGTCGAGGACTGAGCCCAGGGAATGTGTCTGGGACTGAGGTCAGAGACTATGTCAGTGACTGTGTCAGGGGCAGTGTAAGGGACTGTGTCAGGGACAGTGTCAGGGACAGTGTCAGGGACAGACTCAGGGTCTAAGTCCAGGGACAGTCTCAAGGACTGTGTCAGGAACTGAGCCCTAACCCTGATCCCTGGGATTGAACCCCAGGTGGTACCCCAGGATCTGCCTTGTCACCACACAGCCTTCCGGTCCATCCATGACCTTCCCCAAGATCTGGACATACTGACTTAGAGGTTTTGGGGACACTCTGCAGAGCACGCCGCCCCCACATCCCAGCTCAGGTCACAGATTGACTGCCTCTCTTTCCCAGCCCTGCACTCTGTCACTTCCCAGTGCACAAAATGAGTTCCCTGTTGGGGAGCATTTAAAAAGGTCATGCGGGTCCCCAAGTACCCTCACTGCAGTGGCCACTCCAGTAGAATGAAAATACAACCAGACTTGTATACTTCAGTATCCTGGGAGCTGGAATCATCCCTGGTTTGACACAGGAGGTAGCTGACCCCCTCAGCGTTGGCCATGCACCAGGCTCTGAGTCTGTGTGGCCACAGATAAGGCCCAGGAAGGGTCTTGGAGCCTGGAGAGTGACGGGCCACTGAGCAGAGGGACTCCAGGGTGCTGGGCAACAGCAGCAGCATGAATTCAAAGCACTGCAGTGACCTGAGCACATGGGTGCTGGTCAGAAGGCCGAGGCCTTTTGCAGTGACCGCAGCAGCTATGGATCGGAAGGGAAGGAGCAGTTTCGCTTGGCCCACTCGGAGAGAGGTCCATCCAGGAAGCCATGCAGAGCACAGGATGAGAGCCACGCAGAGGTGTGGAGAGGAGAGGAGAGGGCATGACATCAGAGGAGCAGCAGAAGTTGGCAAGTTGTCCCGTGTGAAGACAGAAAGGTTGAGGAGGGCTAGGATGGGGTGCGGGGGCCTCCCAGCCCACCGGGTCCAGGGAATCTCAGGCAACCTTTAGTGACAAGCAAGACTGCTGCTCCCATCCCCATGGAAACTGCACCGAAGAATCCTTCTTCATGTGAGCGGGGGGTGGTCAGCTTCAGGGTGACCACCTCTGATTGCTGGAAAAGGAGGAGAAGCTTAGGTACAAACTGGAGGAGGAAGGCTTGAGACTGCTGTATCCAGAACCACTCCAGAATGAGCAGATATCTCAGCCCACACTGTGTCAGTCACCCCAGGACCAGCAGACATCCCAATACACACTGTCCAGTCACCGTAGAAACAGTGGACATCTCAGCCCACACTGTCCAGCCACCTCAGAACCAGTGGACATCTCAGCCCATACCGTCCAATCACCCAAAAACAATGGGTATCTCAAACCACATTATGTCCAAACACCCCAGAACTAGTGGACATCTCAATCCACACTGTGTCTGATCACCTTGGAAACAGTGGACATGTCAGCCCACACTGTGTACAGTCACCCCAGAACCAGCGGATATCTCAACCCACACTATCCAGTCATGCCAGAATCAACGGAGATCTCAGTTCACTCTGTGTCCAATACCCCAGAACCGTGGACATCTTGTACATCTTGGGCCACTCTGTGTTCAATCACTCCAGAACCAGTGGACACCTTCGGCTGAACTGAGGAACCGAAAGAGCAATAAGTGGGGAGGGAGGTAGTTATATACTCATTTAGAGCTTCTGAATATAAGAAAATGCAAACAACCTCATGTGCATGGGGAGTGATAAGAATAAAGGTTCCTATGGATGATTCCCAAATTCTTAGCCATGAGAAGATGATCAGCTCATTTATCAATGCGACACGCACGCAGGTCCGCACCACTCCTCGAGTCTGGCTGGCATGATCTGGAAAAGCCACTGTCCTACCAAGCTTGCAGGCACACAACCCCGAGGTGCTCAGTAATATCTGACAAATTGCATCATCTGCCTTTCACCTAGAATCACTCCCCAGCATCCAGTCCAAAGGAACACGGGAAGGGTAGAAGAAACTGCATATGAGATTAATTGCCCCATTATTTGCAATAGCACAACTGGGACTAACACAAACGTCTGTCAAAAGTGAGCTGGGCGAATAAATTAGGTAGGTTTCAACAATGAAGTACCACACAACTATTGAAAGGAATAAGGCGCCGGAGGTGGCCCATAGGGCAAGTGCCCTTGTTTGCACAAGGCCCTTACTTCAATGGCCAGCACCACACACAGTAGGAAGAGGGAAGGGGAAGGAAGAACAAACACCTGAATATAAAAACCAAAATGTTTTTTCGAGAACATACTGTGAAATTTTCCAAAGTGAAATGGATGGGCTGAAGTGATAGTATTGTGGGTAGGCCTTGCATGCAGGTTCAATCCCCAGCACCCCATGTGGTCCCCTGTAGTGGTCCCTGAACACAGAGTCAGAAGTAAACTGCGAACACCACCAGGTGGGACCCAAAAATCAAAATAATTTTTAAGTAATTGGAAAAACGTGTAAAATATTCTGTTTATCTATAAAAGAGTGGGATAAAATGCAAACACATATAAATGCTATGGATTCCACGGGATATCAAGAGACCGCGTGGCCGCCCACCTGCCAGATGGTCAGACTTCTTCGTCAAGATCATGAACAATCGGTTTGAGGCTCTTCGTGTTCCCGGAGCGAACAGATGCCATTGGGCTACACTAGCACGCGACAGGGACAAATGGAGACGTTACTGGCGCCCGCTCAAGCAAATCGACGACTAACGGGAAGTTAAGTGATTAAGTGATAAATGCTATGGTACAGAATAAAGTTATTTATCTAAAGCCTAATCTTTTAGATAAATAACTATGACTTTGGGTCATGTAAGCATCTGTCACTGTCCTCCTGTTGTTCATTAATTTGCTCGAGCGGGTCCAGTAACGTCTTGATTGTGAGACTTGGTTGTTACTGTGTTTGGCATATCGAATACATCATGGGTAGCGTGTGGGCGAAATACTCTCGGTAACTTGCCAGGCTCTCCGACAGGGGCGGAGGAATCGAACTCGGGTCAGCCATGTTGGCTGCGTGCAAGGCAAACGCCCTACCCACTGTGCTATTGCTCCAGCCCTATTCCATACTATTTAATTTTAAAAATTCCAAAACATTGAAAATATAATGCATGAACAATTGCTTCAGAACCATATTGAGAGAACTAATTCTATTGTACTTAATCATTTCTATATTTGCAGAGAGCTCACTTAATGATGTAATAATGGCAAAATATTAACCTGCTTTTAGTGGTCACATTAGTGGTTTCAGCACTGGATTTCTTATGGATTGTTGTGTGTTTAGTGTAGAATACGAAAGAATACGCGATGGTGTTGGTGTAGTGGAGAATGAGGAGTTTCAGGAGAACGATCCACTGAGTTCTGCTTCGGGGTACAAGGTCAGATGAACAGGGTGGGCTCCAGGGCCTCACAGCAGCCTCCCCAGTCACACTCAACCACATCTGACAGCCATGACCACACCTAGATGTGGTCTCTAAAGTCAGCTTCGACTCGAACTCGGTTATGGAAATGGCTGTTTCCAAGTGGAGTGAGGATCTAGTCACAATAACTTGCATCACTATATCACTCCGGGACTCGACTAGAAGAGGATTCCACTGCACAAAGGTGAACTGCACACCTACAAGAGCACCACCACTTGCAAGGATTGGCACGTGCCAACTTCCTCAGGGTTAAGCAGAACACCTCATTGTCTACCTTCGGAAGACGCTCCGAGCCATCTCATGATTTTGAAAATAAATAGAGATACCCAAGTACAAGTTCTGTGAAGGTAGAGACTGTCTTTGCAGAAGTAACAGGGAATAAATGAAACAGGAGTGATGGAAACACAGACAATCTCCATCTTCAAGACCCCATCAAGTAACAGATGAGAATTGTGCACTGGTGTTAACACCCCCAGACCAGAGACAACGCAGAATGTGTCCTTCCTGCTAGAACTTTATAGCCCCACCTATGGAACAACTGAGCCTGATCTCGAAGTGCCAGATTACAGGAAGTGCCAGCACGACATCAGTGAGTCCCAACAAAATCCACTGGAAAAAATGCCTGGTTGTCTCATAATCAAGCACAAGGGGGGAAACAGAGAGGAAATATACATTAAAGAGATGTCAGATAGAAAGATTACATTCATCTGGGGAACATAAAGTAACAAAATAGGAGACAAACACCCAAGAATAGCTGAGATAAATACCAGGAGGTTTACTCCATGGCTTGGAGGCCGGCCGCACACTCTAGGGGGGAAGGCAGCTCAGATAGAGAAGGGAGCACCAAATAAAGGGTGCTGGGAAGGTCCGCCCAGGATGGGAGATGCATGCTGAAAGTAGACTATACACTGAACATGAT